TTGAATGTTTTCGACCAAAGGAAATTATAAGTGCAAGAGGCAATGGTTATATTGACTACCCTGACCCAATCATTAACATAAAACATACATGTATCAAAATATATTGTACCTCATAAACATGTACAATTTCAGTTTGTCTTTTTAAAAAAATAATAAATAAACATGGTTACTTATGCAGTCAAAGCAGCCAGCAAACCTGGAAAGGGGCCAGGAATTACTACAAACAGCACCACCTGCACCCTTTTTTTTTTTTTTTTTTTTTTTTTGCCCCCTGGCAAATCTGCAAGCTTAGCAGGATCTAAAAAGATCCTTCAGCCTTTGCTTGAATTGCAGAGAATCAACCTGATAAGTGGAAGGAAATTACTAACTTCATGAAAAATCCTCCTCATATGATGAGAGCTGAAAATGATTTCTAATCATGCTGAGGTGGCACAAGGAGGCGGAAAGTAGGGATATTGGGCTGTGGATTCCACTTGCACTGAGGATTATGTCAGGGTGTAAAGAAAGATTTCCAGGAATAATATCTGAGTTACTTAGACCAAAAGTAATTTAGGGGGGAGGAAAAGACTTAGATGTGGCATGCTCATTCTCTGGCTTGCCAAACGTTTTCCTCATTTTAGGTTTGTAGAGCATCTTGATCTTGGGAGCCCAACTGCCTGTGTTTGAATGCCAGCTACATAATACACTAGCTGTGAATCCTTAGGCAAGTCTCTTAATCTCTCTGTACTTTAGTTCTCTCCTCTGTAAAGTGGGGAATATAATGGAATCTACCTTATATATTTTTTAGAAGATTAAACAAACACATATAAAGTGCCTAGAAAGGGCCGGCCCGTGGCTCACTCGGGAGAGTGTGGTGCTGATAACACCAAGGCCACAGGTTCGGATCCCATATAGGGATGGCCGGTTAGCTCACTGGGTGAGCATGGTGCTGACAACACCAAGTCAAGGGTTAAGATCCCCTTACCGGTCATCTTTTAAAAAAATTAATTAATTAAAAAAAATAAAGTGCCTAGAAAATTGCTTGCATGAGAAAAAGGCTCAAACATTACTATTTTGCCACTTTCAAGTAAACAGCACTGTCTGGACAACTGGGTTAACAGTGTCTGATGTACACAAATTTATTCAACTATCTACCTCCTTTGAAAATCATAAGGGACATTTTTAGAGAGAACACAGCTTCTTAAATCACTGATTGCCAGATGTTTTTGGACTTTTGATGCATTATAAGTATTAATGTATTTTAGTATCTCTTTTCTCCAAAAAATAAAAATAAAAAACCTAGGCATTATATCTATTTCTCAAAGTTAATTAGAACTATTTTGGTTTACGGGCCGGCCCGGTGGCGCACTGCTATAGTGCGCCGCTTGGGAAGTGCGGCGGCGCTCCCGTGGGGTAATATATAGTCTAGGGTATAGTATCAAAAGAATTTGTTCAGTATACATATCTGAAATGGTAAAATGATTTCATATTTCATTCATTTATTTTAAGAAAAAGATCCCTGTACCAGCCAGCTGCCAAAAAAAAAAAAAAAAAAAAAAAAAAAAAAAAAAAAAAAAAAAAAAAAAAAAAAAAAAAAAAAAAAAAAAAAAAAAAAAAAAAAAAAAAAAAAAAAAAAAAAAAAAAAAAAACCAGAAGAGATCCTGTTCACTCTTTCTATTTCCCCTGCTTTTCTCCTTTCTGGCTAAGTGTTCCTCATTACTGGGTTACCTCACTGCTAACAAAGAGTAGTTAGACAGACACCCAGACATCTCTTCTGTCAGAAAACAGTTCCACTGATTAACCCAACTTGGATCAGCCTCAGCTTTATTGTCAAGGTCATAAGTAAATCTGTGACTAAAGTGCTGGAGATAGGCATGTGTTTACATGTCCTTAATGCTCTCACCTTTTTCCAGCTATTTAGATGTCTTTACTTCTGCCCACTTTATAGTGTACCAACTCAATGCGTGTTATGGACTGAATGTTTGTTTCCTCCCAAAATTCATAAGTTGGAAGCCCTAACCCCCAATGCGATGGTATTTGGAAATAGGGCCTTTGGGAGGTAATTAGGGTTAGATGAGGTCATGAAGGTGGGGCCCTCGTGATGGGATTATTAGCTTTATAAGAAGAAGAGAGAGCTCCTCAAAAGCATAGAGGAAAAGCCCTGTGAGGACACAGTGAGGTGACTGTCTACAGTCCAGGAAGAGAGCCCTCACCAAGAACCGAGTTGGCTGGCATGCTGGACTTACTATGCTCCAGACCTATGAGAAGTAAATTTCTGTTATTTAAGCCACTCAGTCTATGGTATTTTGTTATGGCAGCCCTAACTAACTAAGACAGTGTGTCTCTGGTTTTCAACAGATTCATAAAGGTCCATGCAAAAAAGAATTATCGTAACTGTTAGTTAATAGTGCCCTGTCCTTGAGATTAACTGCAACCAACATATTGTCTGTGTGGTTCCTGCATGGTTTGGCAACAATTACTTCTTTAGGCGTGGCAGGTGGTTATTGGGAAATCCTTCAATTTGCTTAATGTCTCCAAATTTTAATTTGTGTCTTGGGAGTCGCTTGGAATTGGGGACCTCTTCTGTCTCAAGTTGAAATCAGGTATGTAAATACAGGTATAAACTCATTCACTTAATGGGCTGTAAGTGGCGTTAAATCTGGCTGTTTGATGATACCAAGAAATCATATTAAATTTGTTTAGCTATTGCGTTTTGCTCTGAGATGGTGTTATGATTAAGTTTCTTTATGTTTTTATTTTCTGAAGGCTAGTCAAGCAAAGCGGTAGGAGTGGAGAAGAAACAAAACTAACTGGTTGTGATCAATTAGTTGTAAACACCACTTCACTAGGATTAAGTTTTTAAAACAATAATCTTTTAGTGAGACATTGAATGCTTTTTTAGGCAAGTCAAGTAATTGAAATATTTAAGAGGAAATGATATTATATCTGGGATTTGTTTCAAAATAATCTAGAATTGGGTCAGGGATGATAATTGAAGCTGGATGACGGACACATGGGAGTTCTTTATATTCTCTATATTTCTATATATGTTGAAATGTTCTATAATATAATAGTTTTTAAAATAAAGTATGATTGGGGCCGGCCCGTGGCTCACTCGGGAGAGTGCGGTGCTGATAACACCAAGGCCCCGGGTTCGGATCCCATATAGGGATGGCCGGTTCGCTCACTGGCTGAGCGTGGTACTGACAACACCAAGTCAAGGGTTAAGATCCCCTTACCGGTCATCTTTTAAGAAAAAAATAAAATAAAATAAAATAAAGTATGATTGTATATAACTAATAACTGCAATTATCCTTTCATTGTCTTACTTTACATTATTCTGTGTGGTTCTGTTACCTGCTGAAATTAATATATAAAGAGTCTTCAAATTAAATGTCTTACCCCAAGCATGGAAGTTAAAATGCTGGACATCAGTACACATTAGACTTCACTTACCATACATTTATTTAGCAGCTACTAAGTGCTTTCATGTAGATTATCTCATTTAATCTCTGCAAGGAAGATGTTATCCCCCATTTTGCAGATGAGAAAATGTAGACACTAAACATGCTGTAGAAAACAGAAAAATGAGGACTTTGTACCCATGTGGTCTGCCCCCCCAAACTCATGTTTTATTTCTACTCTACCATGTTGCTTCTCAGACAAGGATGACTACCCTTTCTCCCACTATTTTCCTTTTAGGAGCGAAAGCCTGGCACAACATGTAGAATAAAATTAATATGTGAAAATGTAGATTTCTGGAGTCTTTGTCCTCTCCTTTCCTGCTAAAGAAGCAAGAGTCCAAAGGTAGGAACTAAATATGTACTGCACCTTAAGGGAACTATGGAACAGTGAACTGACTGAAAGATTCTTCAAGAATTTATTTGACCATTATTCCACGTATTTGTGTCTTACCGTTCAAGATACTGAACTGATTCTCTCATCTCACTTTCAGAAGATAAAGAGCTCAATTCTAAAACAATTACTTCTGTCTTCCTTCCTGTCTACTTATATCCCCTTGATTAGGAGCCACAACTGCACAGCTGAGGAGATGGAGTAAATGCAAGGTAGAAATATCCTCCAACACTGAGCAGCCAGCCCAGTCATTCAGTCACTGCTTTTGCCTTTCTCTTTCCAAGGACATTCCAAGTTTGCAATATGGGGAGTTTGGGACAATCCCTATTTATTACCAAGCTGTTTATAACAATAGTGCTTTAAGATTTATGTGTAGAGGGCTGGCTGGTAAGCTCAATTAGTTAGAGCATGGTGCTGATAACACCAAGGCCCAGGGTTCCATCTGTGTACTGGCTAGCTGCCAAAACAAATCAAACCAAAAAAATTATATATAGTGTAGCACAGCTTAACAAAAGTCCTACCCTGGAGTATGGGAAAAAGAGATAGACTTTATAAGCCCTTATGGTTAAATTAAGACTAAGATCCAAGAAAGGATCCACCTGTTGAGATCTTACGTGAGTTCTGGGTATATATACTCCCTTATTTCCCTCAAACCCACCCCCACCTGTTCAGAAAGAAAATCACCATACTTAGGGAAATCTAGACCAACCAAGCTTAAAGTAATCCCTTGCTGACTAGCCTAAAGAGTTGGTCATGTAGGATAGACTTGCAGCTCCATGGCACAGTTTCTCTGCTCTTGGGTATCTGCAAATCCAGGCCAGAAAGTTAATGACAGAGTTAATAAGATCAAAGAGCACAAACTCGTTTTATCCACAGAGATGTCTTTAGGTACAAAGTTTTAATCCTTGTTCTAAGCATTGAACAAAAAGGCAATAACATCCATTTACCTACCCAATTTGAAGCCATATTTAAATTTCGTACCTTATTATTCTTAGGGTAGGGCCTAAGCAGTGCGTGACATATGCCTTGCTTTTTACATATAGTTGTTAGGTAGACTACTAATCATCAAGCTTAGTGTTAGGTAAATTGAGAAAATCTTTTGGCCTGCCTGCTGTTAACCACAGATTCCCCTTCTACCTCTGGGATGGGATTACTCTGGGTTTTCAGGGACATTTTAGAGAAAATACTCTACTCTGTCACCCTGTTTCCTATTTCTATCAACAGACTGCCCCATGCCAAACTGTCAGTGTCTTGAAAGCAGGAACCATATCTTTTTTTGTATTCCTTGCACCTGCTACAGCACCCAGCACAATGTTAGTTAAACTGAACACGTGTCCTGCACACACTTCTTAAGATCCAAATGTGTCCCCTCCAGTGTGTTTCCCATTAAAGTGAGTTTTGCTTGATTTCTGTTTTAGTCCATTTTGTGTTGCTATAACAGAATTACCCGAGACTGGGTAATTTATAAAGAAGAGAGGTTTATTTGGCTTACGATTCTGGGACAGCTGCGTCTGGCATGGGCCTCAGGCTGTTTCTACTCCTGGCGGAAAGTGGTAGGCAGCTGGTGGGTACAAGCAGATCACATGGCGACAGGAAGCAAGAGAAAGAGAGGAGGTGCCAGGGTCCTTTTAAGCAATGAGCAATGAGGGATCCGCCCCCGTGACTCAATCAGTTTCCAACACTGCCACATGGGAGATCAAATTTCCACATTAGTTTTGGAGGGGACAACGCATACAAACTCCATCATTCCGCCCCTGGCTCCCCAAAATTCATGTCACTCTCACATACAAAATACAATCATTCTATCCCAACAGTCCCAAAAGTCTTAGCTTGCTCCAGCACCAACTTAAAAGTCCAATGTCCCTCTGAGACCAAAAGCAAAAGTCCTTCCAGCTGTGAACCTGAAAAACAAAACCAAATTTATCTACTGCCAAGATACAATGGTGGAACAGACATTGGATATACATTCCCATTTCAAAAGGGAGGAATAGGCCAAAAGAAAGGAAAAACAGGCCCCAAACAAGTCAGAAACCCAGCAGGGCAGACCTTATGTCTTAAAGCTCCAAAATAATGTTCTTTGACTCCAAGTCCTGCATCCTGGGCACAATTGGGCATCTGGGCCCCCAAAGCATCAGGCAGCCTTGTTCCCACAGCTCTGCCAGGTGTAGCCCATTGGGTTTTGCTGGAGTCTGCAGCTTTTCCAGGCTGCAGTTTTCCAGGCCTGTGTTGCATGTTACCAGTGGCCCTGCAGTTCTGGGGTCCTGGCGGCAGCCACTCTGCCAGGTGTAGCCCATTGGGCTTTGCTGGAGTCTGCAGCTTTTCCAGGCTGCAGTTTTTCCAGGCCTGTGTTGCATGTTACCAGTGGCCCTGCAGTTCTGGGGTCCTGGCGGCAGCCCTGCTGCATTGACTCTATTAGACATTTCCCTGGTGGGGCTCTCTGTGGGGGCTCCAACCCCACTTTTCTGCTTGGCATTGCTCTAGTAGATGACCTCTGTGGTGGCTCTGCCCCTGCAGCAGTTCTCTGCCTGGGCTTCCAGGCTTTTCCATACATCCTCTGGAATCTGGATGGAGGCTGCCACTGGCTCATGTGTCCTGCGGCCTGCAGACTTAACACAACATGGATGCCACCAAGGGTTCGGGCCTCTACTCTCCAGGGCTGCTGCACTAACCACACTCGGGGCCACTCCAGCTGGAGCAGCTGGGATGCAGGGAGTAGGTTCCTGAGCGCAGCTGCGCCCCAGGTCTGTCCTCCAGGACAACTCAGTCCTTCTAGTCCTCAGGGCCTGTGGTGGGTGGGGCACCGTTCCAGATTTCTCAAATGCCTTCAGGGCTTTCCTCTTATTTTCTCTGCTATTAGCATCTGGAAGTGAAAATGGGAAAAGTGAAAAAATTTAGTTCAGGCATACTAATTTTGAGAGTTTTCAAGAGAGCAGTTTCTGTAGATTGGTAGGAACAGTAGACAAGATGGGACAAGTGGCTAAGGAGAAATGGGAAGTGAGAAAGCAGAAAAGCAAATGTGACTTCTCTTTCGGGAACTTTGTCAACCAAGGAAAAGAGTATATGAGGAAAATGGTTGAGGGTTTCTGCTGTAGAATGAATTGGTGAGATGGAGTTTGTAGGTTGAAAAGGACAGTGCAGAGGAGACAAAAAACTGAAGGTGAAAGGAGAGGATAAACAATGGAGCAAGGTCATCAAGCTACAAACAATACCTCTGATATTGGTGGGGGGTTAGCCTTCAAAAAATATGAAATATTTTTGTGACAAGAAGTTCCAGTCATAGGAGGAAAAGAATCTCAGATTCTACTTCAGATTATCTCGCTTTTTTTTTTTTTCCTGTGTGGAAAAACTCACCTTGTTTGATTTACTTCAGCAAAGTGTCCCTTAGTAAATTGGCCATGTTGCAAGCCAATCAGAAATTGGTTTACTTGCCAAGGGACTAGAAAAAAACATAAAACTTTAGATTTGATATTACAATACTCTGGTTCTACAAAAATAGCTCTTTAATATGGATAGATGTTGATTTTTACAACTTTCCCAACTCGGGCATTATAAAAGGATAGATGTTGATTTTTACTACTTTCCCAACTCGGGCATTATAAAAGTCACAAGTAAAACAATAGAGCTTCTAGAACAAAACATTTTTACAACTTTCCCAACTCGGGCATTATAAAAGTCACAAGTAAAACAATAGAGCTTCTAGAACAAAACATAAGAGAGTAGCTTCATTACCTTATAATAGACAGATTTCTTAAATAGGACACAAAAATCACTAACCATAAGGGGTGGGGGGAAATGTGATAAATTGGGACTATTAAGCAATTACAAATTTTTGTCAGAAGACACCAATAAGATAGTTAAAAGGCAAGCCACAGAGTAAATGAAAGTATTCTAATATGTAAATAAAAAAGACTCATACCCAGTATATAGAAAGAATTTCTGCAAGTCAAAAAGAAAAAGCCCAATCATAAAATGGGCAAATAACACGAACAGGCATCTCATAAAATACTATCCAAAGGACCAATAAACATTTTTTTTAATTAGCACAGGTAGTTTTACTGTATGTATCATCTAGTAGATGATTAAAAAAATAGAAATGAATACTTTTAAACTATGTAAATATACCATGTTATCAATCCAACAAATCAAAAGCAATTGCCTAGCTGAATAATAAGTTACAAAGAAATAATAATCCTGGCTTGTACAGAAATATGCAGTGTTTTCAAAGCTCTTAACAGTTACCCACTAATACTAATCTCCAAAGCTTAACTTATACTTGGAAGATGATTTTCACAGTAATATAATTTTAACCTCCATTTACATTCATTTTAATATATTACTGAGATGGTTACTCTTTCACAGTGGTGCTTTCTAGTGTTCACAATTTACAATTTCAATTTGTACATATGCAATTCACTAACTTAAGGGACAGTTCTTACTATTACGGACTACTCTAAAAAACAAAATAAAACACCACTTTACTTATAACTCTGAACATGGGATGCCAGCATATAAACTTGCCTATTTAATATATGAGAGCTACAACTTTATTCACAGAGAAATTATGCATTAATTTTCTTCAGTCATCTTTCTTCACCCTAACTAAAAAATCTCATGGCTTGCTGGTTCTGTTTCAGTGAATTTCATACTGGTTTAGGGGTCTTGAGCACAACCTTTGACTGATAAATGGCTTGAGATGGTGCAGGGTGACTGTTAGGTAGCCAGGATTTTCAAAGGCTGGAAGTCCAAAGTCCAGGGAACAAATCTTGTGGAGGCTTTTTTTGATGGTGACTTCATTGATGGCAGATTGTCACATTGTGAAAGTGGTGGAGCAGAGAAAGCAAGAGAGAGCCAATAAACATTTTTAAAATTAGTCAATTTCTTTAGTCATCAAAGAAAAGCATTACAACCATAATGAAATATCACTACATACCCATCAAAATAGCTAAAAAGAAAATAAGACATCAAGTGTTGACAAGGATTTGGAGCAACTAGACAACAGGTAGGAGTATAAATTGGTACAACCACCATAGAAAACTACCTGGTAGTATCTACTAAAGCTGAACAAATGCATACCCTATAACCCAGCAATTCTAATCCTAGGTATATATATCTAACAGAAACAACTGG